TACATACCCTTTGACTCAGCAATTCCACTTACAAGAATTATCCAGGCATCCTCACCACGTATTGGGCAATCTACTTCCGTAGTGATACCACCTTGGAAACCCAAGGAGGGGTCACTATGAGTCAGATCCTACTCCATGTCAGTGAGTTTGGTTTGGTTTGGTTTCACCATATATGATATGACATGTATCCAAGGTTATTATTAATTGTAACATTATTACCATAGCAAATAGTCCACCAATAGAGGACTGGTTAAATAAATTATGGCACATCCTTAAGTGGAATATTATGCAGCTGTGAAAAATAACAATTACATACTGATATGGAAGGAACAGGTGTCAAGTAAATGTCAAATCAAGGTATTTAACAACACATATCATATACTACTGTTTGTGAGAAGTATAAATGTATGTATGTATGTATGTGTCTAACTAATGTTATATACATGAACTCTATCTGAAAGTAATCACAAGAAACTGGTGATATCTGTGGCCCTTTGGGAGAGAAAGTGGGTGACTGGTGAGGAAGAATTCCCTTTTGTACTTTTGAATTATATACAATGTTCATTTATTACCTCTTAAAAAGTTTTTTTAGCTTTATGTGATCCAAAAACTCACTGCCATCTAGTCAATTCCAACTCATAGTAACCCCTGTTGGGTTTCTAAGGCTGTAAATCTTTATGGAAGCAGATTGCCCATCTTCCTTCCACAGAGCAACTGGTGGGTTCAAACTATAGGCCTGTGGTTATCAGCCAAATGCCTTAACTACTACACCACCAGAGCTATGAGTGATAGAAGGCTATTATTTTTAGTTACCAACAAGTTGATTCTGATTCTTGGTAACCCATGTGTGCAGAGTGGAACTGTTCAATAGAGTTTTCAAGGCTTCCATCTTTCAGAAAGAGATTCCAAGGCCTGTCTTCCAAGACATCTCTGGGTGAGTTTGAACTACCAACCTTTCTTTCAGCTAGTAATTGAGCACTAAATCTGTTGAGCCTCCCAGGCAGCCTTTGATAGAAATCTAGTGTGGTAGTTAAGTTTGTAATATCAACTTGGCTGGGCCTGGTTGAGAGGCTGGGCAGCTAGTGGTAGTTATTCCCCATGGTGAGACTGGCAATCAGCTCATTGGTGGGATCTACTACAAACAGCTGAGTAGCTGCCTTTGGGATGTGGTCTACTTCTTGTATATAAGGAGAAGCCTTAGGGATAGTCTCTAGCTCATGGCACGCTTGAACCCTGCATGTAGCCGAGTCATTGTTCAGCAGCCTGCTATGCTCTGCTGATTGTGGGACTTTCAATGGACTTGAATCAATAGCCTTCCATGTTGTTTGGTAACATCAGAACTATGCCTTTTACTTGTTGATCTTGGGTTTGTCAGCCTCAGCAGCCAGCAGCTGTCTAAGAGAAGCTTCTAGCTTCAATGGGCTACAAGCAAAAGGCAGATTTGAAACCCAAGGTTGAGGGGCTTTCACCCAGCCCTTAGAGCCTGGCACTTTGAACTCGGACTTCTAGCCTCCCGAACTGGAAGAGAATAAACTCCTGTTTGTTACAGCCATCCCATTTGTGGTATATTCCTGTCAGAGCAGCACTAGGTAACCAATAGATCTAGTATTGTCAAAAGAACTGGTCCAGGAGTCAGGGCACCACTTCTATCATTAATATGCAACCTTAGGTAAACTCTACATCCATAAAATGAGGATTTTAATATTTGCCTGAAAGGATGAGTGGAGGATTGAGATGTGATGAATCACAAAGTCTACCCTGAGAAACATTAGCTTTATGAGTTTCCTCATCTAAGTGAAAATTGAATTTCCAGCTCTTATCTTTGTCTCAAGGAGCCCTGGTGGGATAGTGCTTAAGCACTTGATTGCTAACCCAAAGGTCTGCAGTTCAACCCACCAGCCACACCATGGGAGAAAGATGTGACCATCTGCCTTCTTAAGGAGCTCTTGTGGCATGGTGGTTAAAGCATTGGGCTGCTAATCAAAAGGTCAGCAGTTTGAACCCACCAGCTGAGATGAGGCCGTCTGCTTCCATAAAGATTTACAGCTTTGGAAACACTATGGGGGCAATTCTACCCTTTCCTATAGGGTTACTATGAGTGGGAATTAACTCAATGGGTTTGGGTTTCTTTTAGGGGGGCAGGTTTGTTTTGGGAGGGGTGTGGTAGTTCAGTTTGTGTGTCAACTTGGCTGGGCCTGGTTGAGTGGCTGGGCAGCTGGTCAACCTTGGGTTTGTCAGTCTCAGCAGCCAGCAGCTGCCTGAGTGAAGAAAAGCCTCTAGCTCCAGTGGGCCGGGAGCAGGAGGCAGAGCTGGACCCCAGGGTTGAGAAGCTTTCACCCAGCCCCTAGAGCCTGGCACTTTGAACTTGGTCTTAAAGCCTCCAAATTGTAAGAATAAACTCCTGTTTGTTAAGGTCATCCCATTTGTGTTATATTTCTTGTCAGAGCGGCACTCAATAACCAGAACAAGGGGGTATCTCTGTTTACGATCTCCTGGTAACCAGTAGTCCTCGAGTCAGTTTCAATTCATGGTGACCCATGTGTGTCAGAGTGGAACTGTGCTCCGTAGGGTTGTCATGGCTGGTTCTTCAGAACTAGATCCCAGGCCGATCTTCTAAGGGGCCTCTGGGTAGACTCAAACCAACCTTTCCATTAGCAGCCTCCCCACCCGGGGCCTCACTGATCACAGGTAATACACAATACTACGGGAAAGGAGGGAAGAAGGGATTGAGGGAGAGAGAGAGGGAATGAAAGGAAAGGGAATTCTCCCTATAGCTGTTCCTGCCTTTCCTTGAGCAAACACTTAGGGTGTGGAAACTGGCTTCAGGGAGAACCGGGTAGGGCACAATTGAAAATATTGACTTGGGGCCCCAGTGGGCAAAGTCCCTGTCACCAGATGCTGCCCCTACCCTGGGCTCTAACACCACCATCCTGGGCTCTAGTACCACCCTCCTGAGTCCTGTCAAGAGGGCTGGGTCACACCTGAGCAAAGGGCAGAAGGTAAGTCCTGTTTTACGAAATTCTTGTTCATGAGTCATGATATATATGAATTTCTTACTGTGAATCCAAAAAAACAACCCACTGCCATCAGGTGGATTCCAACTCATGATGACCTTCTAAGACAGAGGAGAACTGCCCCATAGGGTTTCCAAGGCTATAATCTTTATGGAAGCAGACTTTCTCCTGTGGAGCAGCTAGTGGGTTCAAACTCTACCTTTCAGTTTGAAGCCAAGCAGTGTAACTACAGGGCTCCTTCTTCTTAGTGAACCACTACCAAAATAGTCCAAAACCACTGCTCTAGATAATGCTGTTGTTGGTTTTATCAGCGAAGAGTGAAGTCCTTTATTGTGACAGCGTCCAGAGCCCTGGCCTTTTCACCGGGACTAGGTGGGAGGGGATGGAAAGAAGCCTGGACCAAGTCTGAGAGCTCTGTGGAGGTAGCTAGAGGGGTGAGACAGGCCAGGGGAGACCAGTCTAGAAAGCCAGAGATCCAGAATCAGGAACCCCAGAGGGGATCCCTGCACCATGGTGCCTCCACCTACTGCACACTCTGCATGTTTCCAGACTACTCTCTCTTGGTGAAAATGCCTCATCTGAGTCATGCCCACAGGCTTGACTTAGTTCAGTGCTAAGGGGCAGCCGTGTCTGCTTGGACCTCAATGATGGTGGCAGTGGAGTGGGAGTATTGAGGAGGCCCCGTTCTATCGAGCTATGTCCTAACCCTCCACTCCTGCCCCTAAACCTCACAGTTTCTGTGTTTCAGCAAAGATAGGCAAATCCCTTATTCACACACCTCGCGAAGTCTATACACACCCATCTAACCATAATACACCTACATATGCAAACACGGAACGCACACACACCCTTTACACACACTCTAGCCCTCTATATAAATTCAGCATGTGAGAAGGTAGGACGGGGGTGTCAAAGAGCCAGGTGGGTGGGTGTGACTGTGAGTGGAACAGGGAAAAGCCCACTCATCAATGCCAAGACCTTTACTATCTTTTGGCTTCCAGAAATCGTGGTGTAACACACCCAATTGCTGAGAATGAACTCTGGGCCTCTGAACGATGGGAAAACCAGGACTTGTTGATCCCTAGCTAAAAAGGTAGGAATGAAGATAGTGAAAACAACACCTATGACCACAAAGAGAAGCCATGTGCCTGGCTAAAGAGATCTATAGGCTTAAGGATTGGTTAGTCTTGGCTATGAATTCCTGCTCTGCCACCTTCTAGTTGAGCAAATTACTTGGTCTCTCCAAGCCTGCAAGTAGTCCTAATATTGATCTCCTAGAAACTCAGGAAAGTAAACAAAACTCTCTCCTGTTGATAACATCTAGATCCTACTCTGCCTGCCTCAAAGGGTTTGTTGTGTAGATCAGTTGAAATTGGGTATTTGAGAGTATGTTATAAACTGTAAAGCACTGTGTACAGGTATATAGCAGGTATGAACATTTATGGCAATGGTCAGGTTATCAGCCAGGATTCAACAAAGAAGCTTCTTCAGGAACAGCCTGGAGGAGACCAGACTTCCCTTCCTAGAGCCCCCTCCCAGGCCCTCCCAACTTCTGAGTCCCAGGAAGAGGCCTCCTGACCACCTCCCTCTCCCACTTCCCATGAACAAGGGCTGCACTCACAGCAAGGTAGGTTGGCTCAGGATTTATTTTGGAAAAGATATGGGCAAGAGAGGGTACCCCAAGCAGTATATGTCCCCAGGGTGAGCTGAGGGCCAGCCTCAAATCTGCTGATCCCACTAAGCTCCTGCACAGCTCCTTCCTCTAGAAGCTCCAAGCCAGGCAGGGACATGCATAGGCTGGGAGGGGACACAGTGGCCATTCACTTGGGCAGGACATCAGAAGACTCGGACACCAGCTTCCCATCACGGGTCTCAATCTTCTTCACAACCACAGCTTTGGTGGAACTGGTACTACTGAAGGAGCTGGGGCCTCCACTAGAGCCAAAGCTGGACTGGAAGGAGCTCAGGCCATAGTTGAGGCCAGGGCTTGTGAGGCCCCCGTAGGCTGGGCTCAGTCCACCTGATCAGGGACACAGGCAGCCACATGAGCACTGGGGTCTCTCCCCATGCACCAGGCTCCACAGCCCCTTTTGCCTGCTCACTCCCTACAATGTCCCTAGGAATGGGGAAATCTAGCCCAGACCCACTAGGTTCACTGCTCCAAACCAGGAGCAGTGTGGGAAAGAGGTTCAGTATTAGCTATGTGACCTTGGGCAAGTCATTTAACTAGACCTCCACTTCCTCTTCTGTGAAACATGAAAATTTACAGGGGTTATATAAATAGTAAATAAGACAAAGCATGGAGAGCAGTTGGCACTGTGCCTGGCACCAAGCTACCACTTAGTTGGATGCTTTCTATTATTAACTATATGATTTGGGTACTGGGTATGTCCCCCATCATCCTGGGATTGCCCCAAGAACATGGATCCTGCTCCTTGTCATCAACTTCCCCCGCCACCAATGGCCAAGTGCTCAAGACCAAGGTCACTTGACAAGCACCTGAGCACAGCCCCACCCCTAGCACATGTCTCCCTGATGGAGAAATCCCCAGGGAAGACAGATGCAGGCCCTGCCCTCCCACCTCCATCCCTCAGGGCCCAGGACACTCACCGGAATAGCCACTGGTAGTCTTTGTATGAATGCTCATGTTCTGCATCCCATACTCCAGCCTGTACCCGGAGGACACATGGAACATCAGGACCAACTCCTAGCTCTTCTTGTCCCAGGACAGTAAGACCAAGATCCAAGGGAACAGCACCCAACCCTGCCCCACCCCAAGTCTCAGGCATAGGGCACCAGGGCCATCATCAGAGACCCCCACACTCACCGGTTCTCCTCGCCCTCCAGCAGCTTGCGGTAAGTGGCGATCTCGATGTCCAGGGCCAGCTTGACGTTCATCAGCTCCTGATACTCACGCAGCTGCTGTGCCATGTCCTGCTTGGCTCGATTCAGGGCAGCCTCCAGCTCAGCCAGCTTGCTGTTGGCATCCTTAATGGCCAGCTCCCCACGCTGCTCTGCATCAGCAATGGCAGCCTCCAGGGAAGCCCTCTATGGGAGCAGGGGAGCAGGTAAGCAGGCAGAGGATACATGATTTGCCTCCCTCCCCTGTGCTCATTCCCCTTTCCCTTGGGTCCTCCACCCTGATTCAGACTAACTAATCCCACCCAGCCTAAAGGAATTAAGGGAAGTGAAATTCAGTTATCACAGTGAGAATGGAGAACTATAGTGGCTTCCAGGTACTTCCCCTCACAAATTTCTCACCCGTGACACTATACAGGATCATCCCCCACCCTAACTGGACTAGACCTCTGTGTTCCAGACTTTTTGAAAGCATCAGAACCCAATTTTATCATGGTATGTAAGACACATCAAATAAACCAAGATTGGGGGACCCATTCTGGGCCTCAACCTACCTTTCCAACCCCTTTCCACCTCTGTTATAGACCCAGGTACCACCTTCTCATTGGTCATCTTCCCAGGAACAGTCCAAGAAGCTAGGCTATAGTTCTCACTTCCAACTCCCAAACTCTGGTCTAGGATTCCTGCCCCTGACCCCTTGCCTCCACACTATACCCTACATTATCTCCTCACCTACATGTGTCCAAGGGTCATCTCCTACCCTCAGACCAGTCCAGCCCATACCTGGCCTTTAAGCGCCTCTATCTCAGCCTGGAGGCGGCTGATATTCCGGTTCATCTCAGAGATCTCATTCTTTGTACGACGAAGGTCATCCCCATGCTTCCCAGCCAACGTTTGCAGCTCCTCATACTGCAGTGAGAGATGAGGAGTGAGGCCTATGGGACCCCCTGGAGCCCAAGTTGCCCTCCACCCAAAGGCAAGTGCCCACTCTGCCAGGTCACCTTGTCTCCCTAACACACACCGCATCAAAACTCTTCCAGGCCTCTAGGCACAGGGAATCTACCACCCACCCAGCAGGCTCATCAGAATTTGAAGTCCTGCTCCCTCCTTATGACTAGGGAATACCTAGGCATGGCTAGGGGAGCAGAGTCAACCTAGGAACAGATGACTCTGCTCTTTCTTCACCTTGATCTGGTACATGCTCTCGGCCTCTGCCCGGCTGCGGTTGGCGATCTCCTCATATTGGGCCTTGATCTCGGCGATGATGCCATCCATGTCCAGGGAGCGGCTATTATCCATGGACAGCACCACGGATGTGTCCGAGATCTGGGCCTGCAGCTCACGGATCTCCTATCACGGGGAGAAGGTGGTGAGACTCTGTCCCTGCCTACAAGGACCCCCCTTTTGCAGAAAGGCCTTCCTTAAGAGATAAGACAAGGCAACCAAAGGATAAGACAGGGCAGCAGAGAGAGAAGCAGATGGAAGTTAGGGCTGGGGAAAAGCTAACGTTCCTGAAGGAAGATGTGTCAAAGACCTAGAACATGGAGGGAGGTGAAAATGAAATGAGGCATGGAGAAAAGAAAGCCTGGCTTTGGGTGAGGAACCAAAGGGGAAGAATCCATCCATCCACCCAGCTCCAATACTAAGTCCACAGAGCGATTGCATGTGGCCCAAAGACTAGAAACAAAGGCTCTGGGAATAGAGTAGGCCTAAGCTTGCAGCAGGGTCACCACTTTCTGCATGATGACCTCAAACAGGTTGTTTAACTTCTCTGAGCCCACTTCTTCATCTGTGAAATGGGGCAATAATTTTCCCTCACATATGGGGATAGAGCATGTATGCTAGGCTAGTATTGGTAGCTGTGATTATTCATGGTGGGCCTTTGTCTCTTGGTATGCTGGGCCCCACTGTGGAGGGACTGACTCCCCAGCCCCCACAAACATACCTCTTCATATAGCTGCCTGAGGAAGTTAATCTCTTCCGTCAGCCCTTCCAGGCGGGACTCCAGCTCTACCTTGTTCATATAAGCTTCATCCACATCCTGGGGGACGGGGGGCAAGAGGGAACATGAGTTGAGTGCCCACACCCAACCTCAACCCAGAGGCACCCCCAATGGCCTAGACTTCAAGATCTTCTAGCTAATTGTCTTCCCCACATCCACCTTGGAGTCCATACTCTGCCCCATACTACCTACACCCTCAGCCCAATACCTTCACATCTGCTTCCTGAAGTCCACCAGAAAGCTTCCTGAAGTACTCCAGAAAGCCTTTTATGACTGGACCTCCCATTCTACTGTCCAGAATTCTGTCCTGATGCACATAGTTAATCTTTCTGTCCTTCTCTACCTTTCTACGCTATGTACCCAGGAGGCATTCAAACGTTGAAATAAAGAAATTTGTTCCATTTCTTGGAAACAAGATTTAGGTAGAGAACCTAGAAAGCCTTCTTAGTCCAAGACTGTAGGCTCCAGCCTTAAGGTCTATTCAGGGGCATAGGTACTCCCTCACCTTCTTGATAAGGACAAATTCATTCTCCATCTCTGTCCGCTTGTTGATCTCATCCTCGTACCTGGTGAGGAAATGGCTTAGAATCAGAAGATGAAGGCAAAAGTGTGGTTGTTCTGGGTCTCTTGTGGGGGAAGGGGGACATAAATATCTAGAAAATTCAGTTCACAGAGGATGCAGGTTATGAAAGGGCTTATCTTTCTGCCCCAACCAGCTACCCTTTCCCTGCCCTAACCCCATACTATCATCAGCCTGTAGGGAGGCCTGGAGCAAGAAATCTCTCTCCATATCCATGAATCCACATTGGATTGGGAGGGTTAGACACAGGAACTGATATAACACCTCAGAGAGAACTTTCTGGGATGTGCTGGAGGTCATGGTGACTTTGGCCTCTGATCCCAAGAGACAAGGCAGGAGGACCTCAGTTGGGGGAGGGGAGTAGCTCACTTATTCTTGAAGTCCTCCACCAGTCCTTGCATGTTGCCCAGCTCTGCCTCCAGCTTTAGCTTCTCCTGGCCCAGTGTCTCCAGCTGCCGCTTAAGGCTGTTGATATAATTGCCGAACATGTTGTCCATGTTGCTCCGAGATGTCTTCTGCTGCTGCAGAAGGCTCCACTTGGTCTCCAGCATCTTGTTCTGCTGCTCCAGGAACTGCACCTGCAGAGGGGAGGTAGGAGCAAGAAGGTCCACATCAGGCCAGGGCTCAGAGTCTAGGGTGGGGAGGAGCAAGCACTTGGAAACTGTAAATGCTGTCTCTTCCTCTAATCCATTCCCCGAACAGTGAGGTTCCAGGAATCCAGCAACCTGGTTCACTGTTTGGGGAGGATCACCTATGACCTGAGGAGACAGCATGATAAGGGTGGTGGGGCATTATGCCCCTCCAGTGCTGGAAGGGATGGAGAGCACAGTTGTTGTTGTTGTTATGTGCCATCGAGTCAGACTCTACTCATAGCGACCCCTCCTTGGGTTTCCGAGGCAGTATCACTACAGAAGTAGATCGCCCAACCTTCCTTCCAAGGAGTGGCTGGTGGGTTTGAATCGCCAGCCTTCTGGTCAGCAGTCAAATGCCTTAGGCACGATGATGCTACCAGAGCTCCCGGGGAGCACAGTTACAAGGGGGCAATCAGGGGACTAAAATTGAAGCTATGTATGCACAGCACACAGGTCTTATTTACTTAGATTGTCTATTACAGATTAATAAAAATAGCCAAGTTTTCTAAGGATGCTTTTATTTACACTTACATAAAATTGAAAAAAGAAAATGCAGATTGTTCATATCAAATAATACTACCATTATTATTATTATTTGGAGTGACTTTGAGAGACTTGGAGATTATAAAGAAGCTATATCCAAAGTTTGGTCCAAAGAGTACTGGACAGGCGGCCTACCTCCTAGCTAAACACTGCTACTATCTGTGCTACCTGACCTTGAGTTGCTTCCCCACTGTGAGCCTGGTCTCTGATCCAGCAATGGCCTAGAGAAACTCAAGCAGGCCTTTTGAGGAGCCTATTTCTGTACAGAAGTCACTCTTAGCTGGGGAAGAGGTAAGAGACCTGAAGTCTGTCTGCAAACTGAAACTCCTCTCTACTCCCCACAGTACTCTCCGCTCCCCACAGCAATGTCTTTGAGATTCCTCAGCATCTACTGGAGACTGCCCAAAAGGCAAAGATGGCCTGGGAGAAGGTCTCCCTCGCCCTGCCCTAGCCCTGAATCCACAACCTTCCTCTCCTGCCCTAAACACAATGGTCCTGGTTCCTTGGGCTCAAAGAATTCAGATTTTAGGATGAAATGAGGGCATGTTAGATGGGAAATTTATTTAAAAAAAAAAAAAAAAGAACAACAGACTAGTTCCAACATGGGGAATGTTTTTGTTTTTTGTTTTTAGCAATCCAAAAGCTGTAATTTTTATAAAATTGGGTGGACTTGGAAGAGGGTACAATCTAAATCCCACAACCCCCTCTTTCTAAATATCTCTCTTCTCCAGGTCATTCTGCTCCCCAATACTAAAAATGAGTGATTTTAACAGTTAGCCCTAATGGCCCAAACACTACTAAGCACTTTTCATACATTATATCCTAGAAAAGGCAAAAACGGTTTGATCTGGGAACTACCATGCCCATTTTACAGATGAGAAAAAATCAGTCTTAGCAAGGTAACCAGGTAGGAAACAGGAGCCAGGTGTGAACTCAAAGTTGGACCCCAGAGCCTGTGCTTAACTACTGACTGTAAGAACAGGAGAGCCAGCACAGCGTGGTCAAGATGAAAAATCTAGAGTGCTTAGGGAGAGACAAAGAGCCCGCAAGCACTCTCTAAAGAATAAGGAAACCATCGGTTTCCCAGGGGACTCCAACTCCTCAAGATTCGAATCTGCCCCAGGGTTTCCCTCCTTCCTTTCCCACAATGCCTCCCAGGAGCGGGTCAACAGGGAGGGGCCCAATCCTCCCGCCTGCTGCTAGGGGCATTGGGACCCCTGACACTGCGAAACCCGGCCTGGCTCTTTCTCTGGGAAAGTGGAGCCAGGCCATTGGGGCAGAGCGGGTTAGGGAAAAGTGAAAGGGGCAAGGGCCGAGTAGGAAAGGGGCGTTGGCCGGACGCGTTATCTGAAGCCATAAACTCTAGAATTTTAACAGGGCCTACAACCAGGCAATGTGTGCAGGGCAATGTGTGCAACGCCCGCAGACCTTGAATCCCGGATAGAGGCTTTTCTGAAGTCAGCCCCTCGCAGAACACCCCACCCTTGACACACATCCCAAAGGCAGCTACTCAGGCGTTTAGGAGCTCGGCCAGGTGGACTGAGGGCGTCCCAAAGCCAGCGGGACTCAGCCCTTCACCCCACGGTAGGGGGTGGGTCTCTGTCCCGCCCAGTCCCGCCCAGCCAAACCCCACACAGCAGGCTCCCAGGGCAGGGGCCAAGCTATGACTCATCTTGGTCAGGCCCTAGGGTGCCAAAAGCCTCAATCAGTATTTGCCCATTTGAGTCAGGACACCCTCTTCCTTCTAGAAATTTATCAAATCACTATTTAAAAACAAAAAATAGCACAGGACACCATTGAGGATCCAGAGGAGCAGTTCCAGGGAGAGGGGTGAACCAGAAGAGGGGACTCTCCTCCCAGTGCACAGGTTACAAGCTGGGACTATTCTAGGATGAAAACTTTATCCGCCTCTCAAACCTGGACTTGGAGACAGTTTGAGGAAGGGAGGAAGCCCCAGGATTTAGTCTCAGCCATCCGGACCCTCTCCCCATCCTTACCCCACAGCCCCAATCAAAGTGCATGGGAGAAATGAGTCATCAGTTGCAAAGGTGTGTTGCCAGGGTGAGTGGGGCCAGCAGGGCCAGTAAAGGGGCTGGAGATGTGCCCACTGACAAGGTGGCTAGGAGAAAGGGTGCAGACCCTAGTAGGGCAGCAGGCATAGCTAGCCATGCAGGGGGAACCCTCACCTTGTCGATGAAGGAGGCAAACTTGTTGTTGAGGACCTTGATCTGTTCCTTCTCCTGGTTGCGCACGGCCTGGATGTTGGGGTCCAACTCCAGCTTAAGGGGGCTCAGCAGGCTCTGGTTCACCGTGACAGCCATGATGGTCCCCATACCTCCTGCCCCACCGAAGCCCCCGGCCAGACCCATATTGGCTCCCAGGCTGCCCCGGAAGCTGCCGCTGCTGCCCACCCGGGAGAAAGACGAGGAGCTGATGCGGGAACCTGGCCCGCTTGTGTAAGAGCGGCTGCTGAAGGCCCGGGGGCCAGAGCTGGACACCTTGTAGGACTTCTGGGTTACCCTCATGGACATGGTGGAGGCTAGAGAGGAGGCAGTGGCAGAACCAGACGTAGATTTGAGAAGGAGCCAAGAAGCTGCTTCTAGGTGGGTGTCCAGCTCTCAGCAATGGCCCTTTTTATAAAAGAGAGCCCAGCCCAAAGGCGGGGAACAGCCTTGTACCTGAGTGGCTAGGCCCTGAGGGGGCCGGGCCTAACCCGACACCTGTCACCTCTAGGCAGGATTCAGGTGGGGGCAGCAGAGAGCTGCTCCCACCCAGGGGCCCACTCCAGCACCAACCCAGAAACCCAGGACTGAGCAATTCAGTGAATGTGAACTGGAAGGAATCTGCATGGCTGGCCATGTGTGAGCTCCCTGTACCTAGGAGGCTTGCCCTGGACGCTGCATCCACTGGAATCCTGACTCCTGGGTCATGTCTCCTTCCTTCATGTGGGAAATAAACTAGAGAACTGGGGAGCATTGCAGGAAAGGGACCCCTGGCATCTGGGTCTCCTCCCACCACTGACACCCCACAAGAACGGTCAGTGTTCTTCTCTCCCCTTTGAGGAATTATGGAAGTTTTCTCAGCTGGATCACATGGCACCAGGACTCCAAAACCTTGAGCCTGAGGTCAGGGATTTGTCTCTGTCTCCCCTCAGTTACTGCTGCATTCTCAGTGCCTGGTACCATGCCAGGTTCCCAAGAGAGGCCTGGTAAATATTTGTGGGATGAACGTATGAAATCACACACACTCTGGCTATCTTTCCTCTGGGTCTGTAGGTGCAAGATAGGGTGAGATCCAAAACAGCACTTTTCCTGGACACAACCCAGTGCCCTCCTCTCCTTCTGAGATCCCAGGATCCCCATCCAGACCTAACACTGAAAACCTTGCTGAATGGAACAGAGAACAAAGAACAAGGGCTAGAAGGGCAGAGAGGGATGGCAGACGGTACAGGACAGAAAGAGGACGGGGGGGGGGGGGGTCTTCACTCTTCTCATTCTATTCCCATAGCTCCCGGTGGCTGAATCACCAGAAGTGAGGAAGTATGGAGTGGGGTGAAGTCGAGTGGGCTGGTACTGTGGTGAGCAGCTCTGCAGCCACCTGGACCCTCCTTCTCTTCACAGCCTTCAACTTGCCAAAGGAGTCTCTACACCTGTCTCCCTGAACCCATTATCAGAGTGAGTCAGGAGAGCAGGTTGGGGCACAGCACACACCTGCAAGAGGTTGGAACAGGGAGCTGAGCAAGGTACCTGGAGCTTGGGTGGGGCTGGGTAGGGCAGCTGTGGGTGCAGGCTGTAGGCTAAAGGCAGGAAGTTTGAGTCCGCGAGGCAGACATTCCAGCTGCAATTACCTTATGGCTGGGACTGGATTCTCTGAAAGGTACTGCAGGGCATGAGGTAGGGACTGGATGAATTTTAACCCAAGTGACTAACAGACGACAGACACCCAGATCCCCTGGGGACCGGTAACATATAACCCCTGACCTAGGAAAGGGGGTGACCACCTACTTCTTGTTGTTGTTGCCATGTGCTGTCGAGTCGGACTTGACTCACAGTCGGTTTCCGAAGCAGTATCACTACAGAAGTAGATTGCCCCACCTTCCTTCAGAGGAGTGGCTGGTGGATTTGAACCTCCAGCCTTCTGGTTAGCAGTCAAGTGCCTTAGGCACTATGCTACCAGAGCTCTTGACCACCTACTAGGAGGGCAAATACATAGATTCCTCCTCATCCTTATCCAGGAGAGACACCCAGGCTCCCACAAGGAAGGGAACATAGATCCCTACCCAGAGGGACTAGTCCTTTGGCAGGCAGTGCCCCCCCCCCTCAGGGAATAGACATAAATCCAGAGACAGACTAGAGACAAGCTCACACACACACACACACACACACACACACACATAAAGGGACACACTTTAAAGTCCCTTCCAGAAAGATTAATCCAGAGCCCCCCAAAGAGGACACCAAAGCCACAACCCTTCTTTTCCCTCTCCTTTTGCCTCTCCTCACCCCCTCCAAGCTGGGGCCTCCTGATTGTGCTGAACCAGGCAGAGGGAAATCCAGTTAGCATGTGTTTACACCTGGCCCTCACCCAGCTCCTTTGAACAATGCTTAGTTTTCCCAAAAGGAGCCCTGGTGGCACAGTGGCTAAGTGCTCAGCTGCTAACTGAAAGGTCGGCAATTCGAACTCCCCAGCCTGCTCCATGGGAGAAGGAGAGGGCAGTCTGCTTCTGGAAAAGATTATAGCCTTGGAAACCCTGTGGTGCAGTTCTAGTCTGTCCTGTAGGGTCACTATAAGTCGTAATTGACTCGACAGTCAATATGTTTGGTTTAGTTTTAATTTTCCCAAATGCTTGCTGCCCTCTCCCCAACAGACACCCACACACAGCAACACTGAGAAACTTCTTCCATTCACCAAAGGGAGGAGGGGATGGGCCCAGTGCCAAGCCAGGGACGACTGAGAAGGTGGAAAGAGAGAGGGAGGGGCTGGTCAGACAGGTATGGCAGCCCTGGGGAGAAGGGACAACAGTGCCCTCTCTTTCCTTCCCCCACACTATTGTCAGAGGGGCCTGGGGAATTCGGAGGGGAGGGCTTATGCCTGTACTCCTAGCTTTGGCAGCCTGGAAGAGCACAAAACAGCAACCCAGAGTTCCTTCCAGAAATCCCAGTCCCCACCCACCTGGCTCTCTCATTCCAGGAATGTCTCTTGGCTAAGATGAAGACAAAGGCGGGCTGCAAGGGACCCTGTGGTTTACAGGCTGGAGGCCTGGCCCAGATCTTACCCGGACACAACCCTTCTTTGCTGAGCAGCCCTGAACATCCTGGGGCCAAAAGTCACTGGATGGGGGTGGGGGGAGAGGTGCTTGCATCTCACGTGTTGGCTCCTAAGTGCCCAGAGAGAGACCCAGGGAGCCCCTCCCCCAGTCTCAATATAAAAGCGAGCAGAAGTGTCCTCTATGATGTCCCCTGCCTGGGACTCCATGGGTGGAGGCACAAGGGGAAGGCCCCCTGGGACTAGGGCCAAGTGGTGAAGGAAGGAAAAACCAGAATGGGGCAGCCACAACCTTGTAAGGCTGTCTTTGGCCACTGCAGTCTGCACCACTGCACACCGAACAAAAGGGAAACTGTGCCCAACCGGGAGGACCTGCCCCAAACTGCCTTGCCTGGGGAGCCAGAGAGGGAAGGAGGAGACATTTGTTCCCTGTAGGCCAGGATTGGAGGCCAGCCACTCCTCCATTGTGCACAATGACCCCAGGAGGCTCTGGAGCCTCAGGGCTGGGGCAGAGGTGAGGTGGGCTGAGGTGAGGTAGGCATCACTCAGTTATTAGAAACGACAGTCTGAACAAGTTCCTCTCAGAGATCAGGACTGATGACATAAAGATACCACGCTCATAGCAGCATTTTTCATAATAGCCAAAAGTGGAAACAACCCAAATGACAACCTAATGATGAATGCATAAACAATGTGGTAGATCCGTACAATGGACTATTGTTCTCAATAAAAAAGGAATAAAGTAATGACACAAGCTGCAGAATGAATGAACCCTGAAAACATTATGCTAAGTGAAGGAAGCCAGTTACGAAAGGATAAATGTTCTATTATTCCATTTATATGACATATTCAGAATAGGCAAATGATAGAGACAGAAGTAAATTAGTGGTGGCCTAGGGATGGGAGGAAGGAGTTCTGGTAGCTAGTGCCTAAGGCACTTGACTGCTAACCAGAAGGCTGGCGGTTCAAATCCACCAGCCACTCCTCGGAAGGAAGGTTGGGCAATCCTACTTCCGTAG